TCTCTGGTTGCCTCTGGGTAGTACTAGTAGTTGAGGTTGCGGTAAGGCGAACGGGGGGGGGGCAGAAAGCATTATAATAGTAAAAGTTAATAAGGAGGAAGAATATGATAATTATAGTTTAAATAAATATCCTCAGGATTATCTCTGAAGACGGGTTTAGTGGATAATAACAATTGGTTTAATGCTATGCTTGGATAATCAAGCCGAGATTACTGCATAGAATTCTATAGGGTGTACAAAAGCTATTTTGGGACATGTTAGAATTCTACAGGGTGTACAATACTATTTTGGGACATGTTAGAATTCTACAGGGTGTACAAAAGCTATTTTGGGACATGTATAGAATTCTACAGGGTGAAGATAGCTATTTTGGGACATGTATAGAATTCTACAGGGTGTACAAATTACAATACTATTTTGTGACATGTTAGAATTCTCAGGGTGTACAAAAGCTATTTTGGGACATTTATAGAATTCTACAGGGTGTACAAAGCTATTTTGGGACATGTATAGAATTCTACAGGGTGTACAAAAGCTATTTTGGGATATATATAGAATTCTACAGGGTGTACAATACTATTTTGGGACATGTATAGAATTCTATAGGGTGTACAAAAGCTATTTTGGGACATGTATAGAATTCTACAGGGTGTACAAAGCTATTTTGGGACATGTATAGAATTCTACAGGGTGTACATAACATATTTTTCATTTCAGTTATTACGTAATCATCGAATTCTTTAACATATAAATTATTCTTTCTTGTATTTAAAAGTTCTTGTAAAACCGGAGATGGAATTTAAAGAATTTGNCTATTTTGGGACATGTTAGAATTCTACAAGGTGTACAAAAGCTATTTTGGGACATGTTAAAATTCTACAAGGTGTACAAAAGCTATTTTGGGATATATATAGAATTCTACAGGGTGTACAAAGCTATTTGGGACATAACCTTAGGTCGTATTAGATGAATATCATGAATTAGTTGAACTAAATATGGCTACTGGCTAGGTAATTTCTTTCTTGATATTTAAGACACCCTGCAGTCCCTGGTATATATTATTTAAGACACCCTGCAGTCCCTGGTATCTATTATTTAAGACACCCTGCAGTCCCTGGTAAATACATACACAATGCACACTGCACACAGAGCAGATAAATAACAATAGGTTTAGTCTTAATCGTCAATTAGACGAATATGAATAAAGGCCGAGGACTAATATTAAGGCAGGATACAAAGGAAGAAAATCACGGACTACCCCCCCCCCCCCCCCCCCTCATCCACCAGGTCGAAAATCTTACACATGAGTTCCCATCCAACTTACCTTGTTGCATCTTTTAAACTTAATCATTAAAAACTTTTATCAAAAAATTCAAATTACATTTATCATTTGTTTTTTAATAAAAAAAAATATGAGGATCAAGGGAAATAAGGAGAAAGAGGGAAATAAAGAGAAGGAGCGAAAAGAAGAGAAAGAGGGAAATAAAGAGAAAGAAGGAAATAAAAAGAAGTAGGGAAATAAAGAGAAAGAAGGAAGTGATGAAAAAGAGGGAAATAAAGAGAAAGAAGGAAATTAAAGAAAGATGGAAAAAAAGACAAAGGGAAATAAAGAAAAGGAGGGAAGTGATGAGAAAGAGGGAAATAAAGAGAAATAAGGAAACAAAGTGAAAGGTGGAATTAATTTAAAAAAAGGAAATAAAGAGAAAAGGCGAAATATAGAGAAAGAGAAAATATTGAAATAAATATTAATGATTTAAGAAAAAACAAAGTTTAAAGTTAAATTTTAAAAAGTGCATTCTTCAATCTTTAATAAAAAGCTTAAATATTTGATACTTAAACTGCAACCTGCAACCTGCTTTACTTCTAACAGAAATTGAAGTAAATAATAGCTAAATTTTTGTCATAAATTTTTTTTTTAAAACGTAAACTTTACAAGAAACACTATAAATATATATACCAAATTTGTTATTTATAACAGATAAAAAATTTACTTTTTGATAAATTGTTTTTGTAAGTATGTAAGTAAGATTATAGAATAAGATTTTTTAACAAAGTTGTTAAAGGGAGTGTTCGCGAAAAATGAAAGGGGGTATAGGCTTGCGGCGAAAAATAAGCGCTTTTGATTGCTACTAATCTTACTTCTATCTGTTGAGTTTATAAGGAGAAAATTGTTAAAAACGATAATACAGAAGAACGTTGCATTGAAGAACGTTGCTACGTTTTTCGGAATTTGTCGTTTTTAACAATTTCTTCCTTATAGACGCAACAGATAGAAGTAAGATTGGTGGCGATTAAAAGCGCTTTTTTCGCCGTAAACCTATACCCCCTTTCATTTTTCGTGAACACTCCCTTTAAATTTATTTTTTAAGTATTTTACAATTTTATAGTATAATTGTTTTATATATATACCCAAACAAAAGTTTGACTCGATTACTATATAAATATATTTAAATTTTGCACACATGACACAATGTAATTTTTAGTCTGATTGAATGGTTATGAACTAAATAAGTGACTTTGCGTGGGCATGCAATACATGAACCAATTTTTACCCAAGGTCTAATTTTAGTTGAAACAATATTTGCTTATGCAAATCTACAAATCTGCATAACTGCGCTAAAAAAATGTTCAAATAATGGAAGTAAATTCTATTTGAAACATTTTTTGTTGCTTAAAACTCACATTTCTAAAGTTCTGAACTATTTGAACGGGTTTAGACTTTAAAAGAGAAATATTGCCGCAGAATTTATACTCGAGAAATGAATGTTTCTGATAGCCTGGATCGGATTGGGTATTGGGATAGGGTACTTCATACAGTGGGAACAGAAAACAAAACTGTGGTAGGATGAATGTTGTTTTTTCATAAACTCATAAAATGTAGCCTGGGATTTTGAAATATTTCTAAGTGTTGAAAATAATTTAAGTATTTTTAAAATTCAAAGCATATTTTTAACATTAATTAAGTTTAAATTACCTAATCATCTATCGAAATTTCATAATTTGAAGAAAAAAAGACGCAAAGAATTCCACTGTTTTTTGGTTATCACTGTAATATTTTATTATATTATTTTTTTTTTACCAATTTATAGAAATTAGAATACATTTTTTAGATTAGCTGTCAGAAAAAATAAATTGTGTCAAAAGTGCCTGCACTTACCAGTTATCCCATGATCACCTAACGAAACGGCCGAACCACTTTGAGATTTTACAAAATTTTCCCATTGGTTTGCCCTAATGTCCCATGAAGGCCCCTGAATTTCTAATTATTTTCCAGGTGTGTACACAGTGTGTTTTATAACCTCTCCGGCGTAAAGCGTACAGATCTACAGTATGGAGTGTACTCTCTGAAGAAATCTTTCAAACAAACAAGAAACACGACACGAATCACAATTCACAATATTACTTATAGAAAGACATGCAAGAAACCTGTGGTCAAATATCCAATAAGTGACTTGTTTGAATTAAACCGTTAGCTGTAAACCAAAATGAAGAACACTGTAAGTTTAATAGGTAAGTTAACGTATGAAAATTTTATTTTTTATATTTTTATAATTTTCAGTGTTCGCTCGTTCATTTCGAATTATCGGTAATTTCCTAGAGAACGATTTTTGGACCCCCCTTCATATCAATTTTGTACAATTTTATCATTGGTCATGTAGCCGCAGCGCCCGGCCCCCTAGTCTGTTCTTACCGCGGCGCTCGGCCCCTAGTCTGTCCTAGCCGCAGCGCTCGGCCCCTTAGCCTGTCATAGCCGCAGCGCTCGGCCCAGAAATTGTCTTAACCTAACCTAACCCTAAAATAATAAAAAATAAATAAAAATAATTTTGCTGAAATCATGTAAAAGACTTATAAGAGGGGGAGGGGGGTCTAAAAATCGTTCTCTAGGACAGACCCCATTATTGAGGAATGATAATTATGATGCGTCCTGGACCCTTTAGTTTGTGACCGCGATTTCAAGTATTTTCAATTTAACACTGTGTAGCCTAATTCAGGGTTAGGCTACATGTTTAGACATCTTCTGGACCGTGCTCTAAGGCAATGGTAGGTTAGGTATGCCTTGCGCTGCGGCTAGAACAGGATAGGAGGTTGAGCGCTGTAGCGTGGACGGACTAGGGTCGGCCTCATGTCCAACTGTGACAATTTGCTATGTAAATAAGATGTCATGCATGTACAAAATTGATAGAAGCTAAGGGGTGGGGGGTGGAGTCCTTAAAGCGTGTTTGAGGAAATTACCAGTTGCAATGAAAGTGCAATATTCTTTTATCTAATTATTAGTTTGGAATTAAATGGTTGAACATTCTTCTAAAGCACTTTTTAAGTAAAATTAACTCCGTTATTTGAATCAATATACCCTTGGTGGGAAGTAGAGCGTGACCCCCACCCCCCTATCAACCCCTAACATCTATATTAACTTGAAGTTTATTCTATGTACATATTTTCAAAGTTTGGATCCGTAGGTAAAGTTTAATAACAAAATCTATTCTAGAGAAAGTTTTCTAAACTTATTTATTTATCATATTTTGAATACATGGGGGTAATACTGCCGGGTTTAATATAGTTTTATGCAAAATTGATTAATTATCTCAATTCTCATCAGAACGCTGGTTGTATCAAGCTAAGTAGTTGAAAACTTATTTTAAACTTGAATCCTCTTGAGATCTCATTCTAGTACAATACCTGGATAAAAATGCTAAACAACCAACCTCATCAACCTCGGTAACCTCAACATCCTTAACATTCTGAACATTCTAACCATAAACACGGAGAGTGCATGAAGTTTTTAGATTATTTATGGGAACTGTAATCGTAATTTATAGTGAATCCCCTTCCATTCTTTCTCTGGTTCTTTGTCCTCTTCCAATCTTTCTCTGGTTCTCTGACCCCTTTAATCATTTCTATGGTTCTCTGTCTTCTTCCTTCCTTTTTGCTTGTTCTCTGTCTCCTTCCTTCCTTTCTCTGGTTCTCTATCTCCTTCCATCTTTTCTCTCACTAGTTCTGTACCTCCTTCCATCCTTTCTCTGGCTCTTTTCCCTACCATCCTTCTCTCTATCTCCTTCCATCCTTTCTCTGGTTCTCTGTCCCCTTTCATCCTTTCTCTGGTTCTCTATCTCCTTTCATCCTTTCTCTGGTTCTCTGTCTTCTTCAACCCTTTCTCTGGTTCTCTGTCCCCTTCCAACCTTTCTCTGGGGTTTCCTTCCACCCTTTTTCAGGTTCTCTGTTCCCTTTCATCCTTTCTCTGGTTCTCTGTCCCCTTGCATAATGTTTTCGGGTTCTCTGTTCCTATCTCTGGTTTTCTGTTCCCTTCCATCCTCACTCTGGTTCTCTGTTATCTTCCTTTATTTCTCTGGAGCTTTCCCCTTTGGTCCTTTTTCTGGTTCTCTGTTCCCTTTCATATTTTCACTGGCTATGTCTCCTTTCATCCTTTCTTTGGTTCTCTTTCCCATTCCATCTTTTCTCTTGTTCTCTGTCCCTTTCTAGCCTTATTCTGATTCTCTGTCCCTTCCTATCCTTTTTCTGATTCTCTGTTCCCTTTCATCCTTTCTCTAGTTCTCTATCCCTTTATACCCTTTCTCTGGTTCTCTGTCTTCTTACATCCTTTCTCTGGTCCTCTATCTACGTCGATTCTTTCTCTGGTTTTCCATGTTTCTCTGGTTGCCTCTCTCTCTTCCTCCCTCCTTTCTCTGGTTATCCTATTAAAACATGACATTTATATAATGTTGTGCTTTAAACGAGATTTGGTTTAATTTAGTTTAATGGTGGCTCAAGTTTCCTATTCCTAGTTTATATACAGCGAGAACTAGGATTCAGATCTTTCAATTCTAGATAGTATTCATAGCTTTCTTTATCCAGATACAGTTTAGTTGGCTCAGGTTCAGGGGTTATATATTCTCCCTAACATTTAGTTCAGAAAATCGTTCCGATTCTAACAAATAAATCTTACAGAATTTGTATAATTGGTTTAGTTAGTTTCATATATTATCTTTAGTTTAGTAGATTAGTTTTCAAAACAGAGATAGGTTCAGATAGTTTGGCAAGTTTCAGATTCAATCTTGTAGGTAGTTTCCTTAGTTTCATATTTAATTTTGTAGGTAGTTTCCAGTATGGAAATAGGTTTAGTTAGTTTCATATTTAATTTTGTAGGTAGTTTCCAATATGGAAATAGGTTTAGTTAGTTTCATATTTAATTTTGTAGGTAGTTTCCAGTTTGGAAATAGGTTTAGTTAGTTTCATATTTAATTTTGTAGGTAGTTTCCCGTATGGAAATAGGTTTAGTTAGTTTAATATTTAATTTTGTAGGTAGTTTCCCGTATGGAAAAAGGTTTACTTAGTTCATATTTAATTTTGTAGCTAGTTTCCAGTTTGGAAATAGATTTAGCTAGTTTCATATTTAATTTTGTAGGTAGTTTCCGGTATGGAAATAGGTTTAGTTAGTTTCATACTTAATTTTGTAGGTAGTTTCCAGTATGGAGATAGGTTTATTTTGTTTCATATTTAATTTTGTAGGTAGTTTCCGATATGGAGATAGGTTTAGTTCAGTTTCATATTTAATTTTGTAGGTAGTTTCCAGTATGGAAATAGGTTTAGTTAGTTCATATTTAATTTTGTAGGTAGTTTCCAATATGGAAATAGGTTTAGTTAGTTTCATATTTAATTTTGTAGGTAGTTTCCAGTATGGAAATAGGTTTAGTTAGTTTCATATTTAATTTTGTAGGTAGTTTCCAGTATGGAAATAGGTTTATTTAGTTTCATATTTAATTTTGTAGGTAGTTTACAGTATGGAAATAGGTTTAGTTAGTTCATATTTAATTTTGTAGGTAGTTTCCAGTATGGAAATAGGTTTAGTTAGTTTCATATTTAATTTTGTAGGTAGTTTCCGATATGGAGATAGGTTAAGTTAATTTCATAATGTATCTTGTTGGTAGTTTCCAGTATGGAGATAGGTTAACTTATTTATATGTATATTTAGAATTTATTCTTCCTAGTCTAACTATAAGATGCGCGTCTAATATGTTAATGTTATCTCTAAACAGTAGGTGTATACTTCTTATACTCCTACTTCTCACTAGGTTACACCGTAGACAAATATCAGAAACTGGGTCTGCTTCACCATGTAAATGTTCACCAAGGGTAGTGAATATTAGTTCTAAAAGCAATTTTTACAAAAAATAAAGTTAATATTTCCCCCCCCCCCTACATAATCTTTATTTAATTCTAGTATTCCCTCCCTTTAAGTTTACACACCCCCAAATTGTTTCCTTGTGAATATTAAAGCCCACGTCAAATTACGATTTTTTGCAAGCCGCGATTTTATAGATTAACTTATTTAATAAAGGTCTTGCTATAATGCCTTTTTGTACCGAACACACACCTGGTACAAGGATTTAAATTTTAATGTAAAATGTACTGTACAGTGTACATTTTACATTTGTTAATGGATAGTAGATTAAAAGCAATTGTTTAATCTTGGAATACGAACAATAAATCAGTAGATTAACGGCCTCAGTCCATAATAAAGCGTATATCTGCGTATAATAAATGGAGAGAGATATTATCATTGAAGATGATCAGAATATGCATTAGAAGTGTTCACTGTTCCTTGCCTTATTCATTGTTAAACATTGATGTAGGATAGCAACAAGATTCTCAATAATGAACGGGATAACCCTCAAATCAAAACCGATAATGCAGAGAAACTCTTTATTTCATAAAAAAAATTATATGGATAAAAACATACAAATTATTACAATGAATTTATGAATTTTTATAATGGAAAGATTCTTACGATCTAATAAAGGATCTGGAGGGTTAAATCGTCGGACAGTCCTAAGACGTTTTTTTATTTAAACTTCTGAAAAGAATGACAATTAATTATTAACGAAAGTCACTAATTCTTTATATGAAAATATTCTTTGCTTAACTTTTGAAATGGGTTCACAATAAACGAAAGTGTTTAGGCTTCGTCCCCGGAGAACAAAGAAAAGGGGGCTAAAATTATTTGGTTTGGTGTCTCCGAGATGGGATTTTAAGTTAAAGACGACATTACACGGAGAGATCTTATAGTTAATGGTTGACAAACATATTTTCATGAATATTAAATATTCATTTTTCATTTAATATATAATTCTCAAAGTTAGAGGTGCTGATTTTTACACAACAAATTATTTATAAATTAAGCATTTTAACCCTCAAAACAGTGTGGGGGGGGGAGGGGGAGGCATGGAGAATGATTTTTGTAAAACATAAATATATCCCTGTCAAAATATATGGGTCTTTCGGAAAAAAGGTTCCCCCTTAAGATCCCTTAACTGGGCCATACAGGGTGGAAATGATGTATACTGGTAATGAATGTCTCTGAGTTATGGATGGGCGAAGATACCCCCA